TTTGGTCTGCTGGTTAAAATAACCGTGGAACCTGTCGAACATAGCACGCTTTTCGTTCGAATGGTTCGTGTTACGTCCGAGGATTAAAATAGTTTTATAATCAAGCGATATTCGCGTCTTGGAAATTATCGCGGAAGCTGCTAAGTTTAGTCTATGCTGCACGTATCTCGCAAAACTGACAAGCAGACTCCTTTGATCGGAGATGTAACATGCTGTTTCGAGATTAAATCTGATCGTATTTCCTTTTTACGATATAGTGCTTGTCATTCGTGAATGAGGTTGATAAGAACTAGCATTTTATAGTTGAACAGTAATTGAAGCGTTCGAGATACCGTTATTGAAGATTAATGATAATAAAAATACTTATAATAATAAAAATACGGAAGGAAATTTACAAGTTGAGAAATTCAGAAATTTAATTGAGAAATGGAGAAATTTCAAATTTTTTAGTTTTCAAAACTGTCTACCCATCAGTTTTATTGATCTCATTAATATTGATATTATTTATTTCGTCACTAACATGAAATTTTGTATTTAAAATAATAAATAATTGTGAATAAAATTTGATTGAGATGCGTGTTTATCTTTCCTGTATTTTTCAGAAGCGAAATATTATTCGCAAGTTCAAACCGTATGAAGAAAGACAGAAAGAGAGTGGACAGAATTCAATACACTCGGTAGTTTCATACAATTAAACATTGTAATTTAACTCCGATGCGTGCTTTAAGACCCGAGAATCTCGAATTTCGCTCGGTGCGGTAAAAAAATATAAGCGAAAGTCGCTCGCCAGTAAATTTAGTATCGAATCACTTCTGTAACAGTGTTCTCTTCGTACACGACTATGTTTCCTATAACGCAGGCAACATTCCTTCAATTCGAATCAACGTTAACATTGCTTTCTTGGTATTCAACAAGTGTAACCTACTTAAAATAATTTCGTAAGACATGTATTACTCCCATGTTTCTAATTATAAATAAAAGATATCTAGTTATTCTATCTTTTTAGAAGCTAATTATTCTATCTTTTTGTATATTAGTTTATCTTTTTGTATTTTAGTTTTTGAAACATTTAAAACTTTTACTGAAGTTCTGACGCGCTTCATTTTTGTTTATCCTGCGCATGCGTTCATCGATCTGCGCATGCGTAGTATTGCATATATGCGCAGTAAATATGCGCAGATCCCTCAATATAGTTTGCTGGTGCGCATGACTATCTGAAGCGTAGGGTTTCCAAGTTTAAATCTGGTTGATTTATCCTTTTTGAATATCTAATTCTTCTTATTAATCGAAATTACTGCTTCATATATATTACTGTTTTACGCAGTATTTTCGAGTAACATTATTTTTCACATTTAACCGAGAAATACTATTCTATACTATACTTAATTGTGTAAAATATGATACACTATATATACGCTATTCTTCTCAGTAGCTTTCATTTGAATCTCAAAGCATATCTTCAGTTCAAAATTATATTTATTTTATGATCGCACCCAAATCTGCTACATCATGAATCATTATGGATCGTTAAATAAATGTTTTAAATTTGCCAAAATTCCCTAAAAACAAGGGTCAAAATGAATGCAGTTGAACGACGTGTACAGTGACATGTAGTGAACCGCGGTGTTAGGGAATGGAGAACGTTTCAAAGATTCGCGCGTTTCCGAGGCGCCAAAGGTTCGAGGTCGCGTGCATGAGTCTGGTGATGCATCCTAGTCGCGAGTTAACGGGAGTCTCGTCTCGATCGGCAGACAGGAATCGATTCTGTGGTGCGAGTTGTCCCTGTTGGCGAGACGAGCAACGTCCTTTCCGCTCGCTCGCCTCGAAGGACGAAGCGTCTGACACGTGCTAAATGATCGAGCTTGTCGAGCCGAGTTGAACGCTGCTCACAAGATGAGCTGACCAACCGATACTTCTATACCCAACTCCAATTTTGTTACTTTGAAAGAAAGACAGAAACTGGAACTTACACGTTTATGTTACTTCACAAAATTTGGAAAAAGTCACACATTTCTATATCTTTGCAAAAGGGATAAAAAATGGCACTTATATATTTTTGACACTTTGTAAATAGGTAAAGAAAAGCACTGACACACTTCTGTCACCTTTCAGAAGAAATAGAAAGAAGCAGTCACATATTTTTGTTACTTTGTTAAAATGGCAGAGAAAAAGCAGTTAAACAATTTTGTCATAATGTGAAAAAGATAGCAAGAGCACTTCTGCATTTGTTGTATAAAAATTGATTAAATAAAATGGACTTGGATTAGTCTTCTACTAAACGTTTCTTATTAATACCACGTCTTATTAACACGTTCGGTTACTCTTCTTTCTATCTTCATTGATTCATTTTAATTTTCTAGGACATTGATCTTGACGTTATTTGATTAATTATGTCTCCGTTCATCGACAAAATAATTTTCATACGATCCAATGAAGAAAACTACAATACCGAAATTTATGTAAAAGATAAAGGAAATGACATCGAGATGTACTTTATATGCAACGCATGCTCGCACTATTTAAATACACACAATCGAAAGTGGAAGTAATTAGTACGTTGGTTGGCGAGGCTCATTGTGGCGCAGACGTTAGCATAAGCCAGTAACTCATCGTCTTCAAGGAATTTTACCCTAGTCGATGGAGAGTTCGGCAAACAATGTCGACTATTCCTAACTTGTAGCCAGGAATTGGACGAGGACCGTGTGTACTCATCATACAAGCTAAAGTACTTACATACGAAGTTCACGCGGGACGTTTCCTTTATGAACTCAATGGTGCATCAGGATATTTTACTATTCCGTTTCTTAGGACATCACCTATACAACTATACGATATTCCAATGTGTTTCTCTTATTAATATTCATTTTTATCCTCGCGATTTCTCTTTCCTTTCGAATTTTGACGGTGCAATCGACTTTATGCATATATTTAATTTTTAGTTACAAAGGAGAAAAATGAGCGGATAAATTAAGTAAATATTTATCTACTTATCTTTAAAGTTATTTATCTTCGTAAGAGTTTGCATATATTTCCATAAAAGCCACTTGAAGAAAGTTATTTTGAACTTTGTGGCAGTTTTAGTTAAATAAGATGGCGTAGGTAACATAACCTAGATTTTCTTTACGACAGTCTCTAAATTTAAAATTTGTAAACTTCCAATACACCTGAAATTTTTAAATGAAAAGTTTGAAGATTTGAAACTTATAAATTGCTGTAAAGTATCACAACTTCAAAAATATCGAACCTTTCTAAAATTCGGAAATTCTAACCTTGAAATCACCAAATCTTAAACCACCGGAGTTCTGAGATTATAACTCAATCTCGCATCTTTCCGAACGAAGCCGATCGATCATGTCCCGTCACCAGAAACACGATCGAACTCATGTTCCATTATCACGAACAACGTTGTTTCTCGCAATTTTATAACGCCTGTCACTGGTTCTACATCGAACGTTCATCGATTTCACAGCGGGCCTTGTTCTACTTTGTTTTTTTTCTCCTTTTTCATGCACCTTTCTGTCGTACACGGTGTCAATTAAAAGTCCTTAGAAGAATTTTCCCTCGCAACACGTCTCATTAACACGACTTACCTGGAATACTAATACAAAAGGTGACTGTCTTCGTTTTCACGCTGGACACGAAGCATAGTTATGGGCTGCGATTAGGCGCTCTATGAAAAACGAAGAAATCTCGAGGCTTCTAAGCTGACTGGTATTTCAAGCCTCCATTGAAGAGTGGTTGTTTTAAACTTTACGTGGTGTTTTAGATTTTCTCGTGGAATTTATTTGCGCAGGAAATACCGTATAGTTTTTGCGTTATTTGTTCGTTACAGCTTTTAATTAAGAGAGGTGTGCTAATACTGATGGATTGCTGGGAGGCAAAAATGTTACGGATTCATAAATAAACGGGAAAATGTAGTGACATCGATGTCGATAAATAAATCGACGTGGTCGATGAATAAGTCGATACTGTTATCCAGGAAAAAGATATTGTCGATAAATAAATCGATACCGTTAGCGATAAATAAGTTGGTATTATTGTCGATAAATAGATCGATATTGTTATTGATAAATAAATCGATACTATTATCGATAAATAAATCGATAATGTTGGCAATAAAAAAGTCGATATTGTTATCAATAAGTAAATCGATATTATTGTCGATAAATAGATTGATATTGTTATCGATAAATAAATCGATATTGTCATCGATAAATAAGTCGATATTGTCATCGATAAATAAGTCGATATTGCTGTCAATAAATATGTCGATATTATTGTCGATGAATAAATCGACACTGTTATCGATAAATAAATCGATAATATTAACAATAAATAAGTCGATATTGTTATCAATAAATAAATCGATATTGTTATCAATAAATAAATCGACATTGTTATCAATAGATAAATCGATATTATTGTCGATGAATAAATCGATACTGTTATCAATAAATAAATTGATAATGCTAGCAATAAATAAGTCGATATGGTTATTGATAAATAAATCGACATTGTTATCGATAAAAAAGTCGATATTATTATCGATGAATAAATCGATACTGTTATCGATAAATAAATCGATGAGTAAATCGATAAGTAAATCGATATTGTTATCGATAAATAAGTCGATATTGCTATCGATAAAAAAGTCGATATTGTAATCGACGAATAAATCGATATTTTTATCGGTAATTAAATCTATATTTTTATCGATAATTTAATCGGAATTAAGTCTAATGAGAGTAATTAATGTAATGAAGGTTACGGTACTACTCATATGAATGATAATTATATTGACGACGTTCATTTAATGCATCTGTCGATTTCACTTCGCATTATTAATCACAATATTAATATAATTAAAATAATTAATATTAATGATAACGAAAGTTCATTAAGCAGTTAAATATCAGATGCGCTTTTATAAAAACCATGAGTAACTAAAAGAATTTTTTCATAATATAATTAATTTCCTTGCTTTCGATGAAATGTTACAGGCGGTATATGCTGGTCTTCTATAAGTAACGGTCGTTGTAAGGAATTATTATCGCAAGGCGTAACGAAGGAACATTGTTGTGCGTCAAACGCTGAAGCAGCAACCGCGTATTCTGAGGAGGACCTCGATAGCGGAAGTCTCTTTTTTTGGCGAGTCCTGGGAGGAGGAGTGCAGTGTCGTCCTTGCAGAGGTAAATAATTTCATCTCAAATTTTGTTAATATTCTCCAAATCTCTGTCTTTTCAAATTACTGTATTCTTCAAATTTCTATATTTCTCAATCACTACAAATTATATCTTTCAAATTTTTATATTTTTCAATGACTGTGCTCTTCAAATTTCTGTATTTCTTAATCCCCATATTCCTCAATAGATTACACTCTTCAAGTCTCTATATTTCCCAATTACTATATGCTTCACATCTCTATATTTCTCAACCCTTATATTCTCCAAATCTCTATATTCCCCATTCTCTACATCCTCCGAATCTCCATATTTCCCAATACCTATATTCTCCAAATCTCTATATTCCCCAACCTCTATATCTTCTAAATCTCTATATTCCCCAATCCCTATTCTTTCCAACACCTACATCTTCCAAATCTCTATATTCCCCAATCCCTATACTTTCCAACTACATCTTCTAAATCTCCATATTTCCCAATACCTATATTCTCCAAACTCTATCTTCCAAATCTCCACATTCCCCAATCTCTATATTCCCCAACCTCTATATCTTCCAAATCTCCACATTCCCCAATCTCCATATCTTCCAAATCTCCATATTTCCTAATCTCTATATTTCCCAGCCTCTGCATCCTCCAAAACTCCACATTCTCCAACCTCCACATCTTCCAAATCTCTATACTCCCCTATCCCTATACTTCCCAACTACATCTTCCAAATCTCCGTATTTCCCAATACCTATGTTCTCCAAATCTCTATATTCCCCAACCTCTATCTTCCAAATCTCCCTATCTTCTAAATCTCCATATTTCCTAATCCCTATATTCCTCAGCCTCTACATTTTCCAAACCTCCACATTCTCCAACCTCCACATCTTCCAAATCTCTACACTCCACAATCCCAATACTCTCCAAATTTCAACATCTCCCATTTTCTCACATATACACCACAGTTTTCCTCTGTAAAATCTTGAAATAATAAATCTGCATATAAGCACAGTATTGATTCGTAATAAGCAACTCGCTCGGGTCTGGCCAATTGCTTGTTACGAATCAGGTATACTATATATTATTCAAATTTCACCACAGCCGATCAGTTTACCTTGACAGATTCCAGTTATAAGTCTAATAATATGAAATTATTTTGTTTCGGATAGAAAGCTGCAAAGAAGTAAGGTGCGAAGAAGGGAAAAAGTGTGTGGTGCGCAAAGGTAGACCAAGGTGCGTGTGCAGTCCAGAGTGTAAAGCTCCCAGAGGAGGAGGTCCGGTCTGCGGGACGGACGGGAAAAGTTACAAAAATCTGTGCAGACTGAAAAAACGAGCTTGCAAGAAGGGAAGCCACGAGCTAGCGGTTGCCTATAACGGCCACTGCCAAAGTGAGTATGTATGAATGAGATGGAATCATTATCAATAGATCGTGGATGTTTATGCATTCTTAATCCTAGATTTACGGACTTTCAATGACCACTGATAGTTAAATTTAAACTATATTACAAAAATAAATAATACATGAGGTATAAAAATAAATAAATAAATAAATAGAGCATAAATTATAAAAATAAAGAAATAGAATATAAATTATAAAAATAAAGAAATAGAATATAAATTATACAAATAAATAAATGATGCATGTACTATCTTATACAATTAATATTCGACTTATTAAATAAAAATTTTTGAACACAAAGTTTGAGGGATTTTCTTTACGCCATGTATTAATTTCTTAGAGGGTGAGATTTAATTTTTGTTTTTCGAGCTGTTCTTATAAACACACGTTTTAATGGAAGCTTCTTATTAATTTTCGTAATTGAAAATTGGAAATTTAAAAGCTTAATAGTGTTTTTAGTGGGTTCCGTAAATCTAGTGTTAATGTAGTGCTTTGTATAATGCACCCTTAGTTCTAAGTTGAATATAAAATTTAAAAAATACATAAATCATGGGTAAAACCTGAAACTAAATGTTAGAATGAACATTTTTATCTTCTTAAAAATCAACACATCTTGGGTCAATCACATAAAAAATATCAGTAATTGAACACTAAATCTATTAAAAGCAATTAAAGTGAACATTTAATAAGCTTCATATTTCGACATACAAAGTTTAAGTTAACTTTTCCGAAGTCCATGTAGATTTCCATCGACACAAAGAATTAATTATATTAATTTACTTTTTATCGTTCTTTTAATTATTTACTTATCGTTCGCTTATTGATTCTTAATTCGAAAATAAGGGTGCATTACACACCAGTAGATTTAGTGTTACAGTAGAAAACTTGGTGTATAGTTTAAGCGTTAAAGGGGCGGAAATCATCGACGCATCACACTGAGGTTAAAACGGGAAATTTGAATTAGATAGTTTTAACATTGAAAGAGTAATTATCATATTAGTACCAAAATGTCATAATAGGGTCAAAAACTTGATGTGTAGTCATCATTCAAATAGCAAACTTGAAGTGTAGTTTCAGAGTTAAAATAGAAATCTTGAATTCTATAGTTGCAGCATTGAAAGGATGATAAAGGATGGCGTATCTATCACGTCAGTGTTAAAATAGAATACTTGATGTACAGTTTCAGCTGCAAAGGTGTGGATAGTTATCGATATTCATCATTAGTTATCATTTATCATATTAGCCTTAAAATAAAGAATTTGAGGTTAACTTTGACGTTTAAATACTAAGCTTGAGAAGTAGTTTCAATGTCAAGGTAGCAAACTTGTGGTGAAGCCTTATCACTAGAACTCAACGTGTTCTTTCAGCGTTAAAAAGATCACAAAACTTGAGATATAGTTTCATCATTTAACCAAAAGACTCGTGGAATAATTTTAGCATCAAAATAAAAAACTTGAAGATGTATCTTTAGAGCGAAAATACAAAGCTTGAGCTCTAACATGAAAATACAAATCTTGAGCTCTAACGTGAAAATACAAAGCTTGAGCTCTAACGTGAAAATACAAAGCTTCAACTCTAACGTGAAACTACAAATCTTGAGTTCTAACATAAAAATACAAAACTTGAGCTCTAACATAAAAATACAAATCTTGAGCTCTAACATAAAAATACAAATCTTGAGCTCTAACGTGAAAATACAAATCTTGATCTCAAACATAAAAATACAAAGCTTGATAGTCTTAGCAAAAACTCAAAGGACTCATAGTTTTAGCATGAAAGGGGTGGTAGTCATCGACTCATCTATCACAGGGGCGGTTTACGACTGTGCGTAATAACGTGTAAAGTGTCGAGCAGGTTCGTGCGCACGGGTCCGTTGCGGCCAAGGTCGGAGCTGCCTGTTGGACCAGAACCTGAGCCCGCACTGCGTGAGGTGCGCCCGCAGGTGCCCCCAGCCGCCCCCGCAACAACGAGCCGTCGCACGCCCCGTTTGCGGGGCCGACGGAAACACCTACAAGAGTGCCTGCCACCTGCGACTCGCCGCCTGCCGCGCAGGTCGCGCCATTCCCGTCGCCTATAAGGGCCACTGCAAACGTGAGTCTCTCTCTTTCTTTTTTCTTTTTTTTATTCTTTTCTTTCGCTTTTTATACCTTTCTTTCTTCCTTTATCTTCACCTCGAAGATACGTACAGTCAACAGCAAATCTTCCCTTACGGAAAATGTGTGGGTGAGAAAACGATTTGTGGTTGTTCATTTTTGGGATGCGGTGAGGGATGGCGGGGTATTGGAACTTGAGGGGGTTGGGTTTTGGGGATATGGAGATTTTGGGGTGTTGGGATGTTGAGATTTGGGGATGTGAGGATTTTGGATATGGAAGTGTTGGGATATTGCGATATTGGGACTTGGGGATTTAGGATTTTGAGATATTGGGATTTGGAGGTATTGGGATTTGGAGGTATTGGGACTTTGAGATATTGGGATTTGGAGATATTGGGATTTGGAGATATTGGGACTATGAGATATTGGGACTTGGAGATATTGGGATTTGGAGATATTGGGACTTGAGAATATTGAGATTTGGAGATATTAGGATTTGGGGATATTGGGACTTGAGGATTTGGGATTTGGAGATATTGAAATTTAGGAATGTTAGGATATTAGAATTTTGGGATTTGGAATATTGGGACTTGGGAATATTAGAATTTGGAGTACTGGAATTTGGAGATATCGAGATTTGGGGTATTGGGATTTGAGGTATTGGAATTTGGAGTAATTGGGACTTGAAGATATTAGAATATTGGAATTTGGAGATATTGAGATTTAGGGATATTAGGATATAGGGGATATTAGAATTTTGAATATTGGAATATTGAAACATTGGAATATGTGGATTATTGAGACTACTGAAACTATTGATGGTTATCGAGACTTGAGAATATTAGGATTCAGAGATATTAATATTTGGGGACATTCCAACTTGAGGATATTGGGATTTGCTGATATTAGCATTTAAAATTTATTAAAATGATATCAATGTCCTAATAAATATATTGAGATATTGGAATTTGGAGACTGCAAATTTTGAAAATTTACGAAATGATGAAAATACTTTCAGAAAACGAGGAATTTCAAGACCTAAGGATTTATGAGTCGAGAAATTTGAAAATGTAGAAATTTTAGAATTTAGGGATTTAAAAATTAGGAAATTTGAATATTTCAAAATACTTGAATTTGAAGAACTCTTTCAAAAACTTAGTAATTCTCCAAATGCTCAACATTTAAAAAATCAAAAGTCCTTAAATTTCAAATTTGAATTATTTCACTAAATCAAGATTTCTAAAAGTTTAAAATTATAAAATGTAGAAACAAGAAAATTCTAGAATGAGAAAAATTGTCATGTTTATATGTATATGTCGTCATCGAAAGAAGAGCTTTGTTGCAGCCGAGTGTACTTCTCTCGCTCGCTCACAGCCCTTCGACTTCGTGGTCCGTTGTTTCCCTTCCTTCGTTCCTTCGCTTTCCGAACCCTTCTCTCTAGCCACTGTTTGCCTTTTCTTGGCCTTCTCTTTGCCCTCTCTTTCGCCTTCTCCCCGTGACAAAGGCTTTTTAGTCGGTTTCTCGACGCAGCGGTGCGCAACCGTACCTTAACCTGCCATCGTATTGTAAACACAGGAAGTTCCCAAAAATATCATTGTATTAGAGCTTTGGAAAGGTTTGCAAACCTAAACGTTCGAAAACTTGTAAATTTTCAGATTTTTGAAAATTGTAAATTTGAAATTTTCGGAATTTTACTTGTTTGCAATATTTGAGATGCTGCTAATTTGGAAAATGTGGAAAATTTTAGGAATTGATGAAAGTTTTGAATTTTATGCATTTGAGTGTTTGAGAATTGAGAAATTTAGATTTTTGATATTTGAGAAATTTGAAAAATTGTAGATTTGAAAATTTGAGAAATTTTAGAAATTCAGAAATTTGAGGAATTTGAAAAATCTTAGATTTTAAAATTTGAGAAATTTCAGAAATCTGAGAAGCTTGAAAAATTAGAGCAATTTGAGAAATTTGAGTAATTTGACAAATTCGAGAAATTTGAATAATTTGAGAAAGTTGAAAATTTGTAGATGTGAAAATTTTGAAGTTTGCAGTTCTGCAAATTTGAGAATTTGAGATTAAAAATTCAATGCTAAATGTCCCTAATGATCTACATTGTGTGTCTGGCCACGTATTGCTGATTCTACTATTTTACACTCCACTCGTACCACTGCCACTTAACATGTATGATTTCTTGCTACCATAAATCTTTCTGTTATCTAATCTACAATATGAACTTCAATCAATCAAATATGTGTAGATGTAGACGTTCATTTCGCAAACTCATTTGAAAATGATATCCATCTTATATCGACGATCTATAAATCATCGAACTGCATACTATTTTACTAATCTACTTTTCGCAACAGAGTACACAGTCTCCCACTTTATTTCACAAGAAAGTAAATAATAAATGATCTTATACAAATAATTTATTTAGTCATTTAACCCCATCAGGGATTTCTTAAAATTCCAAAATGAGATAATTTAATATTTCGTTGTAGTTTTACTCATTTTCAATGGGTAAGTTATATAAATATTTTTGTAAAAATGCATATAAATATTTTTTATAAATAAATCATAAAATAAATTTAAATCATAAAAGTTAAGTATAAAAGATACTTAACAAAGTATCATACATAAAATAGAAGAATATCAAATACGATATGAACAGTAATATCCACATATGTGGACATATGTGGCGTCGATGAATTTAAGAACTGAACGTCGACGTATGTGTAAGCATCCTTGAAGAGGTTAATACGAGTTTTTGATCGTTGATGAACATTTTTGTACCATTATATCGTTAAATTGGTGTAGTTGGAGGTTGAATTCCTCTACGAGAATTGCATGTGTCTTGCACTTTCTTTCGAAGGTACTACCTGTTGCTTCTCACGTGAAAGAGCGATTAAGCGCAGGAAAATGGGTGTTCAGCATGGGGTGCCTTTTATAAAGCCTGGTGAGACCGGTGACTAAGAAATGTCCCATTAGAAAATACATAACAACGTTACTTTGTTTAAATTAGTATCCATTATCGTGACCACAGAAATATCATACTTCTGTTATTGTTATTCCCATATTAATATATGCTTACGCAAATTTGTACATTTTTAAAAATATCGAATTTCTGTAGATGTATGAAAATATAAAATTCATGTAAATTTATAAAAATATAGAATTTTTATTCTTATTCTGTCATCCTATAATATTAATGAATTGTACAAAAATAATTATGAGTCCTCTAAATATTTTTTAATGTTAATTGAATAATAAGGAATATGAAAATCCATAGATCACCATTTAATGTTTTATATTATGAAGTATACGTAAACTCTAAATAACTAAATAAGTTTCAATATAATTTTCTAAGTAATGAAAAATGTTTTAATTTAATTTTCTAAACGATTGAATACATTCTAATTTAATTCTATAAACGACGAAATATTAATTCAGTTTTCTAAACGAGAGAATCTTAATTCAACCTTCCAAATGAAATAATAATACACTTCCTATTGACCCGAACAATTTCGCCCCAACTTTTAAGAAATATTTCTAAAATTTCGATTGAAACTGAAAATAATCGACAAACTCGAAAAAAGTATGCGAGTACGCGACCGTCCAAACTGGAAACAGACGCGGATGCGTATCCTTTATTGTTCATTCACGAGAAAAAAAAGGAAACCCGCGAGAGCGCCGGTGGAAAAAGAAGCAAGCAGGAAAGGGTGAAGGACGTGGAGGACGTTGAAAAAAAGTAAGAAAAGAGAAAAGCGAGGAAAAAACAAGGGAGAGGGAAAGTTCAGTTCATTGGCGAGCAGCCGAGTAGCCAGACTGCTGCTGCTTTGCATCGGAATGTACCTTATTGTTGTCTGGTTTGCATGGTGCCGAATTCTTCTGACAGGTGCCATAAAGTCACCGAGAGAAGTTATGTCCAAACAAGAGATGGCAACGAATAATAAAACGCTATCGTACCTGCTGAAATAGCCTTTCGACCTCGCTTTTCCACTGAAACTGACTTTCCGTTATTTATTCCGTCTCCTGTTTCTTTTATTGATCAGGAGAAAGTTACAATTCCAGCTAGATATCGAACTATCCGGCTGTTGTTAAATGGAACCACAGAATTGATTCTTATATCTTCAACAAGGATTTAGTAATTTGGCAACGTTGGGTTTTAGGGAATTTGGGAATATTGATATAATTTGGGGAGTTTGGTATCTAGAGATTTGGACATATGGAAAATTTGGGATCTCAAAATTTTGGGATTTTGAAATTTGACATATAGGGATGTTGGGATTTTGGGATTTTGGGATTTGTGGAATTTTGGGATCTGGGAAATTTAAGATCTGCGGATTTTGGGATCTGGGAAATTAAAGATCTGGGGATTTTAGGATTTAGGGATTTGGGTGATTTTGGGATCTAGGGATTTTTTAGATCTGGGGAATTTTGGGATCTTGGGGATTTTGGGATCTAGGGATTTTGAGGCCTAGAAATGTTGGAATCTAGGGATTTTAGGGATTCGGGGGATTTTGAGATCTAGGGAATTTTGGCATCCGGGGGGTTTGGAGATCTAGGGATTGTGAGTTCTAGGAATTTGGTAATCTAGGGATTTTGGGATCTAGGGATTTTTGGGATTTTGGGATAGAGGGATTTTTAGATCTCGGGGAATTTTGGGATCGAGGGATTTTTAGATTTCGGGGAATTTTGGGATCTGGGGGGTTTTGGGGATCTAGGGATTGTGGGATCTTGAAAATTTTGAGATCTAGGGAATTTTGTGATCGAAGAACTTTGGATGTAGGGTTTTCAGGATCTAGAGATGTCGGGTCTAGGGATTGCGGGATTTGGTGCTATAAGAATGTTACGATCTAGTGATTTTTGAACTTATGAATTTTAGAATTTATAGATTATGAGGTTTAGGCATTGCAAAATTTGAAAGATCAAAACTTGAAGAATTAGAATATGCAAAAATTTAGAAATCAATAAATTCTAGATTGTAAAAATACCAAAAAAGGA